TTTAACAAAAATGTTAAAGCTGTAGATGACTATTTTTTCAGATGAAGAGAAGAGAATATGATCAGATTCAATCATGCTACATATCACTTTAATTAAGCTGAAAATGACCTACCTGGTTGAAGAAAATACCTGAATATGGTACTGTCTGTCTGTCATAATATTCAGTATCAAATAACCAGGAGATCAAAAACTGTTAATCAGATCTCATCGTTGTACATCACTTGAATATTTTTGGATTTCACTGTTAGAAAAGCTATGGTCTCGGGTCAAAGGAATAGCCCCTTGGTTTGCATATTAAAGAGGCTTTGCTAGACCTCTGTTAGCCATGCATCCCCATGCAGGCAGGTCTCCAGGGGGCCAGCAGGGCCCCACAGACGGGCAACTAGGGGGCCAGGTGACCCTGTCTCTGAGGTTAGCAGGAAACACTAAAGAGGGATGGGCAGGGAGCTGAGGAGCCACTGAGTGCGAGTGTGCAAGGCTGGTGATGGCAGCTGTCAATGGTTTGGAAGGAGAAGCAGACAGATTGTGCGTTCTGTTGGTGCAGCCAGTTCGCCACCTGGCAGGCTTTTCCTTGTTAGAACTTCTTGCTGTTTCTGTTCTCATCAGAGAAATGTTTTTCCTCTTATCCTCTGTGTTCAGAGGAAGTTAAATTTGTCAAAATGTTTAAAGATGTTTAGTGAAATGCAATTGTTTAAAGAATGCTGTGTGCATTCTACAGAATTGCTGCCCGTCTTGTTTGTGATGAAATTCAGTAGAAAAGCTATTTATGAATGCAAACCTTCCTCTGGATGATGAACTACTAATTGAATTATATTTACTACATACAATATTAGAGAATGAAGAGGTATGCCTTCTGAGTGTTGACCTTGTGCTACATTATTTAGCTGTGTTCTTTGAGAAAGGGGGTATGTTTTAAGAGGTAGGATTTGCTTATAAAAAATAATCTGTAACTTTCAAATCCCATCATAGCCGTAAACACTGCTCCGTGTTGTTCAGTTGTTAAGAAAAAATGCAAACGTAAACCATGAACAGCTTAAAAGTACATTTAAAAATCAAATTTGGCAGTCAGTCCTTGTTCCAACAGGATTAAAAAAAAGTCTTTCATTTGATATAAATATATGCAAAGAGAGTGGTGTGGTGATCTGGGTGCCAGAGGTGGCGCTTTACTCTGGATATTCTGGCTTGGGCCTGTAAGGGACATAAATTAACATGAATTAACACATGCATGCAATAAGAAAATAATTAATTCAAGTTATCAGTCACCTCTTCCATTCCAGGAATCTGATTGACAAGATAAAGTAATGTGCAAACTGCTTTTCAAAGCTAACAGCCTGGAGCACCCCTCCTATTAGTTAGTCATTCCCTCAGTATCACACCCGGAATCTGTCATTTCACAATTTTCTCCTATAATGCATATGTGCCGCTCTCACCACTCCACTACAGCAACTGCCATCTAACAAGTTGACACAGAGAATGATACAATTCACGTCCAGTATTCAGTTCCATATACAGCAAGCATCTGAGGCAGACGGGTCAAGAATATGGTACATTCTGTTCTCTCTCAAAATTGCTTTTCCAGGACTAAGCTAGATAAAGCTCCCATATCATTCAAACACCTAGGATGAGGTTTTAGGATTGAAACTCACACTCATCAGATGTAAAAATTGTTTGTATTAGTGAAATGATGCAACATCTCCTTCCTTAAGATTCATACCTGTCTACTCCCCATGAATGTTAGTCTCTTAAGATGCATTATCTCTTATACAAGAAAGATGTGGTAAAATCAGCAGTGTAGAGTAGCATATATATATAAAACACAAATAGTTCATAGACAGTTAGGACCTGAGAGGCATGAATGAGAAAGCTTGACTTTTTAAAACTGTGACTGCCTTCAGGAAACATGTTTTGAATGTGCAGTTTGAATGCAATAATGTAATGTCGGTCTGTCCAAATGAAGTTTATCTCATAAATTATTCCAAAGATTTACCAAATTTAGTTTTTTAGTTTGCACCATCTGATCAAGTAAAAAGATTTTATTTTATTTTTTTGAATAAACAAGAAATTCTTCAAATTATATGAACTAGAATTAGCCTACCAACTCCACCCCCCCAGTTGTACCCTCCAACACTCAGACTAGTTATCCAGAATCATATAAAATATTAACTATTCCTGTGAAATTTTGTCATAATTTCTGTGTGAAGTCTTGAGTTATGGCTAAAAAATGTTTTGTTAGGTCACCGTGACCTTGACCTTTGACCACCAGAAAATAATCAGTTCATCACTCCCTATATAGTCCACTACATAGTGAGTGTACCATTTTGTATAGCTGTCCAAATGTATAGTGAGAATTATTATACCCTATATAGTGGACTCATAGTATCCCACAATGTATCGTGAAAAGTAGCGGACAACCCATGGTCACTAACCAAACAATACATACCATCATGCATTGCGCTCGCGCTGAAAGACAGAAAAACGGCAGGTGAAAATGACCGAGTAGTGTCCGAAAGTGTTTTTCATTTTAGGATGAGCTCACTATATAGTTGTCTACATTAAACTCCATGGATAGTGAGTAGGCAGTGGTGAATGACTGAGTGATTTCGGACACAACCCGAGTGAATGTTTGTGCCAAATTTGACGAAGTTCCCTCAAGGCGTAACTGAGATATGGCGTTCACAAGAATGGGACGGATGGAGGGACGTACAGATGGACTAAGGGACAGACATCATAAAGTCTCAAAGCTTCTGCCCTGACCCTCGCCGGCGGGGAGGCATGAAAACATTTGTAATTTTAACAGCAATGGCCATATGAAGATAAGTCTGTACTTGAGCAACTTTTGATAAGTAAGTGAGTTTAGCATCTCCACGTTTTAACATGTCTGCTGTATTAGCCAGTCTAGCCTGTTCACAGTGCCATTGCAATGAACGGAAACCGGAAATTACTGCAATGGTGTAATTTGAACATGAAGTTCAATCTGTTCTCGGAACATTTTTTGATAAATAGGCCAGTTAAAGCATCTCAATCTTTTAACATATTGTCTGCTACATAAGCTAGTTTAGCTGGTGCTTAGGTGTACAGTAGCCTGTCCCATCCTGTTCCTGACTGTTAGGCTTTATTTAAGAAATCTGATATGGTTTGGCTACAGCAACTCTTTAGTTAAGTGTAGTTCAAGTTAAGGTAAGGTAGTTTGTAAGCCAGTGTGTTATCAAAGTTAGGTAGATAATTGGTTACTTAGTAAACCTGCTAGTTAGCATCAACATTTCTGTAAGTGAGTATAAGATTAAATTCTAATAAACTTTCTTAGCATGATAAATTATTGCCAAAGCTATATTTGTATTTATAATAGTTACTGATATTTCATATCTGTGTCTTTATTTGGAATAACAAGGTGAATGTTTTGTTTCAAAAGGTTTTGTGTGGTTTGAGAACATAAGTTACTCATTGTTGGATTGTTTCATGTTTTATCATGATGATGTGATGCTACTGCCCAAAGGAGAATACATTACTATTAATTTAGTTTGCTGAAAGTATTAGCATGACAAATTTGCTGACATGTTTTTGAAGTATGACCAAAGGGGCTGAAGGAAAGCAAGCTTTAAATCAAAAAGCACACTTAACCAAATTTGGGTAGAAAGAAAAAAAAAAAAAAGCTCCAGAGGAGGATAGTGCGCACAAAAGTTGTTCTGTTGCCTGTGAGTGTGGTGACAGCCGGTCCCAGTCCCTGCAGCCCTCACCGTGCACTGTGCAAGCCTGACGGGAAACTGACTGCAGCTCAGGACATGGCCTTGTTTGTTCACAGTCCCCCCTCTCTGAAAAGAGTTATGCTGTCTGTTTTGAATGGACAGCGTTTTTCTTTGTGTGCTCGATCAAAACAGAGGGCAAAGTTAGTCAGCAAGTTGCATAGCTTCTGCATTCTGATTCTTCAAGCCTCTTTTGTATGAAGTTTAGCACAATGTTTTACACTGTGTTTGACCTGAATGGCGTGCTGGAGGTAGGAACATTTTTACAAACTACAAAATAGAAAGGGGTAGAATGTAATTTTGCTATCAGATATTACTCAGTCATGTTTCTATGATAGAACTAAACAAGTAAAATGGTCATATGGGGTTAAAAACTCAGCTATAATACACAAAATGACAGAGTGCAGTGTTGCTGAAATATTTATATGCTTTTATCTGATCTATTTCCTAACCACAAGGTATTTGCCTGCGAATCCCTGGCACTTTTGATATTACCTGAAGGCAAATGGTATATAGATTTATACAAGTTATTTACAACAACAGCCAAGCCATTCCTCTGGAAACTAGGCTGCAGATCAAAGGATTGTTTTGATCTCTACTTAGCATATTTGTTTAACCTAGCCAGTGATTCTGAAAAGTGCACAAGCTTTTCGGTGATATGCAGAGCACCCTTTATCCGTCTTTTTCTTCTGTTAGCTCTGGATTTAAGTACTTTCTGTATTTAGGAGACAACTGGATTTGCCAGCTTTTGAAATTTAGTTGCCCACTGCTAGCAGTCTTGGCACTCAGAAATAGATAACTAGGTATGTTCCACTGCTAATCCTGATCGGCCTTGTAATAGTATTTGCGGACTGTACAGCACTCAATTAGGGCATAATGTGCTATTTTTATTTCCTTTAAGTTGGATTAAATGTGAAAACATGTTTGTTTTTTTTCAGTTTCCATCTACTGTTTACTGTGTGGGTACTTTGCAAAGTATTGTTTTATACTGTTTCAATCAGTACCACTCTCTCCACACAGGACTGCAAAATGTCAGGAGAAAAACAATGTCCAAGCGCTCTCTAAAAAAGATGCCAGGGCAATCAGGAAATTTTCTGGAATGCTTAAGAGAATGCATATGCACACAATGCCCTAATTCTCTCTTACTTTGGGTTTGGGAAAGATGAGCACAGGTTTATTGAGAGCCAAAAAAGGGGGCAGATGGCTCACAAGAGGGATAAACCTGGGAAGTCATGCTGTAAATGTGTTTTACAGAAAACAATGAAAGGAGCGGACAAAGCGATTGTGGCAAAGTCCTTTGGAAAATGGAAAAGCAGCTCTCTAAGGTCCAGGACCATGGAGAAGCCGGATGAGCCGTCCGAGGAGAGTAAGGAGGAGAGCCTATCCAACTGCACCTGTGAAGCCCCCCAACTCGGCAAGAAACCAGTTGGTAAAAGTACCTTATTTTCTTATTTCAAGTCCGTTCATACTGCTGTGTCTCCCAGCTTATTTTTCTTGTGGCAATTTTAATTATTACTGTGGTGACTTGTTTTTTTTTTCCATTTGACTCTCTGGCCTGCCATATCCGGTGAACAAACAAACCACATTGTTGGGCAGGAGAATTCCTTTTGAGGGAAAGTGTGTCTCCGATGATACAGTGTTGCCAGAAAAAGACAAAGCAAAAAATAGCAAACACAAAAACAGTCACAGGTGCATGGGAAAAAGAGAGAACCGAGTGAATGGTCACTGCGGTCCCCAGGAGGTCTTTCAGTGTTAGCCAGTGCGGTGGGTGGACTTCTGACAAGGACGTTGGTTAGCAGCCAGGTGGAGTGTGTAACTGAGAATGCTCCTGTTTATTCTTTTCACATGCTAATGTGGCTCCTATGTGACTTTAATGCGGCAAAACTTTTTCTTAGAGTTAACATTTTTGTTGTTTCAATACCTGCTCTTGTAACACAGTAGTGGGCTGATTCAAAGGCTCCACACTCTTTTATATATGTCTGGGAACGTGCCAGGGATAGAGATATATGCTAACCATGCTGTACATAAAGACAGACTGGTGGAATATTTTCAGTGCAAACAGGTACAAAATATGGCTTTTAAATTCATGAACCAGACAGAGAAAATGAACAGATCATATTGTGTGTTAAAAGTATGATTATGAAACATGTTTTGTTTTTTTTTTTGTTTTTTTACAATGAACATATATGAATAACCATCACTGTAAATACCAAGAGATGCCAGTTTTTGTAGTTCAGTGTTGAAGTGGTGATCGGTATGTAACATAACAAAATGCTCTAACAGATATGTACTCTTTAGGATAATTTTATCTCATGTAGCATTTGGCTCCTATCTTTTTTTCCAGCCTATTATGTTCCATGTTGTGTAAAATGTCGAATACAGTACAATATCTTACAGTAGAGAATTTTTACCTCTCCAAAAAGCGTAAATTAGGCTTCTGACACTCTGCAATGAAAGACTACATGACTACTACTCTAAGCAAATGCACCCCTATGTGGACAAAGTAAGAATAGTGGGGTATTTGGATGAAACGCACAGGCCATGCAGTTCTCATCGGGCCATTGTCTCTATTTCCAATATGCTATGTAACCTGTTAGTATAATGGGCTATCGGTACTGTAGTAAATATACTCTAAAATATATCTTAGCTTTCATTAGTGGTTCATGAGCCAGCTTAATGTCTAATTCAGCTGCACAAAAGAGCAATATGGCCTCACACTATGGGTCTTTCCATACCTTGTAATGTACAATCTGTAAATAGCTTCAAAGGCATTGCATCTGCCATCTGCACTTCTAGGAACTCTTCTGCATAACCATTAAAACAAGCTGTCTCAGAGGACATCATTCGTATTTCAGCCTCAACCCTGAATTACTGTGTGTTCATTATAATTATAAGGGAGGAGTGTTGCCAGGCTAGCCTGCAGAATGCCAGGTGCACACTTCCATAATCTACCATTTTAAACAACTCAGAGCATTAACAACAGTATCTATGTGCTATTCAGCCATTAGTTCACTTTGGCTTTCATGCTCAAACTCACATCAGTCATCTGAACATTTTGTGCCACAACAGACATACAGGAAGAAAGTGCAATACTTTGTAGTGTTCCATTTTCCTAAGCCTGCTTAGGTTATGTGACTGAGCCATGCCGCTGTGTGAAATTTTATCCCGATACTGGCACTGTATCCTTGTGAGGGAGTCTTGTAAAATAGGTTTACTTAGCGCCTTTGCTGGCATTTTCCGAAGATAGCAAATGCACAAACACTGTCCATGATCGGATTAACCGTTCTACAAAATGATGTAACTCTTTGTCTTTTTTGTGTGGCATAGGTTTCTCTGCTTAAGTTTAGTGGTCATCCACAAGAGAATAGAAACATTTGAAATCCAGTCACATCCTCATAATCCATATATTACAAATAAAATAGATGACAGCCTTGGTTAATCACAGCCTTTGTCACACAAATGTGACATATAACTGCCCAGAGTGAATCACTCAACCACAAATTCACCAGAATTTTGCAGATACTGCCTCGAACTGCACAACAACAATCCTTAATTAATACAAGTCCTAATTTGAAAGGCATTTAATTTTGAACTTTGCCTGATGTTCCTCTCTGGTGTTGAGGCACAGGATTTAAATTCCATGTGATAAGTGTGAAAGATTTTTTAAGCATCCATATACAGTATAAAGTACGCTATGCCAAGTACACAGAGAACATGAATTTGCACCTGAGGACATATAGCTATACATCCAGAGTCACAAGGTGTGTCAAGACAAAATGTTAATTACACAATTTATGACAGAAATCAGTTGAAATATCTCCACGGATCTCGCTTATTTACATTTTAATTACTACTATTACTTATTCTTATTTTTTGGATGTGACCATAGCAAGCCCAATTCCTCCCCTACACTAGAAAGGAGCAAAATGACTGTTTTCCACTGGAGGTTTAGATGCTTGTTTATCACTTTTAAATACCATCATCTTTGCTGAAATCCCCTCTCAAAAGAACCTTTCACTTGCTGGAATAAATTCAAATTAAAATTTAAATCCCTCTTTGCATTTCTTCAGCCTTTTTTAAAATAGCTGCCTCCTTTTAGAAAGCTGTTTATGTAGTGATCTGTTCATAATCCAGTTTGTTTCTCAACAGCGAAAAACACAGAAATCGTATTATCACTATCTTGGAGAGATGATGCGAGAAATCAGGAAGTATAAATGTCTGGATCTGTAGAAGTTTTCAAAGTTGTAAAGCTGAAGAATATGGCAAAAGCCTTTCAATAAAGTAGTCGGTAAAACTGCGATTTGACTTGCAAATATACAGAAATATAAAGTACATTGTGTTGTGATAACTCAAAAACATTTCACCTACCTTTGGCAAAGCTAATGTAACGACAGACAATATGTGCTCATTCAACAAATACACAACATTTTGGCATGTTTCACAGAACATGTAGACAGTATTTGTCATATACTGTAGATAGATGGCTCATCAGAAATGTTGATGTGTGTGACATACAGCTATTGAAGTAAGATTTGGAAGATTAACCCTTGGCATTATAGCTGACAAGTCATGCAGATCTCTGTAAACAGCTCTTTCTAATCTTAGGAGGTGCTCACCTTCCATTATACTGAGAAAAACAATATCTAATCAGAAATGTAACAAATATAAACAGAAACAGCAGACATTTACATGCAATGCCTTTTGATAACAACCCATTTCAGAGGTAAAATGACGCAGAAGAGGCCATAGGGAAATTTAATTTGCTCAAGCTAGATTGGATTTATTGTTTGGAAACAAATTATAATTGTGTCTCCAGAAAGTTAACCAAGATCTAAACAAAAGGAAATCAATGACCCACCCCCATTAATCACTCAAAACCAGCTACTTGTGCTGAAGAAACTTACTTCATAATCAATTTCTTTGTTTTGCTCAAAGGGCATTTGCATTTTAGTTCATGTCAGCAAGCTTCCTGTATCTGGCGCAATCAAAAATTGCAAGCCATCCACATTAATGGAGTTTTTTTTCTATTTATTCAAGTGCATATCTCTGAATACTTAAGATGATTTTAGCTTATTATGCAAACTGCCCTACAAATATAAAGACAGAAAAAAACTACTGTTGAGTGGCAGACTTAACTTTTCTGGGGCTTCTCATTGTAGTGTCATAGTAAATCGAATACATCATCAAAGACAGTTCTCTTTTAGTTTTAACGGGTAAGAGCTAACCAATATCTGCTCCTTAGAATCTTGCAATTGAGCACCCACGGGACTTCTGAGACCAGACAGAAATGCCTCCTGTTAGTTTTGTCTAGACATACTATTACAGCCACCAAGGTCATTATCAAAGCATGCATTATACACACCTGTTACCATTGTTTAGATGCTCGTTTTGGCTGAACATCCAAGCTCCTATCTTGCCATTTATAGGCGTGTCTGCTTCATTGTCTGCCCGCCTGAGTAGAAAAGATGGGCAGGGACCCCCAGAGACGCCCAGATCTGGACCTAACCTCTCAATGACACAACACAATGACTCCTCGGCCCATGAACTACAAAAGGCAGACATCGACTGACCAGTCAAGCGTTGATTTCTTAGATATAAGCAATCAGATGCTCTAATTTGAGGGCTGTGTATGTAGAGAACAAGCAGTGACCACTAATAATGCTTTTCATTTTTACTGATAAAGTGGATAATTTAGACCTGCAGAGCAATGCTTTTCTTTGGTACCAAAAAGACATTGAGTGACCAGTCGAGCACTGATTTCTCAGATTTAACAAATTCTATAAATGTAAGGAACCAATTAGTGACCAGTAATGAATGATGTGTTTCATCATTACTGATAAAGTTAATCATTTAGACCTGTGATTGTATAAATAATTCTAAAAATCAACATTATTAATGGATCCAGGTGGTTTTAAGGATTACCAGTGAACTTTTGCTTCCATGCACATCCTCAAGTGTGATTTTTACATCACAGAACACCATGTTTAGTCACCTGTAACATCAAGTTAACCTGTACACTTGGCCATGTAGTCATTTTATTAGTTTATGAGGAACCTGAAGGACCTGAATGTGTTATATTGTTAGTTTTGGACAACAAAGTCAAATATAAGCACAGTCTTAGTTCCAAAGGTATCAGTTGAAGGCAGAGACAGAAAACATTCTATATTTGTCCATAAAACATTTCAAATGTTATTGAGGTATCTTCAAAGGACACTGAATAAACATATTATAAGGTTGCCCACTGTCACACAGAAATCACCCCAAAGGGAATTGCAGGGAAGTAATCTAATCATTTCTTTTAACTGAGACACTGTGACATGCAGTGTAGATAATGATCCCCATGAAAAATGTACTATATTTTCAAAAGAATATTCCCTGTCTTCTAACATTAACATAAAGATAGTTCTACATCCTGGAGCCATATCAACA